TAGACTTCATCATGGCCATCTCTCCTATTAACACTGTATTGTGTTAGGTTTTAGTTATGAGAGGTAGGCAGCTACCTCATTAAAATATTAAGAAGTATCTGTATGAGTTGAATTTTTAACTTCTTGCAAGTTTGCCTTGTGTAAAATTTGATTGTAGAGAAGAAATCAAATTTCGCTTTTTTTTTTTTAAATCTTTTTTCTTTCAAATGATTAATTTGCTAATTTCCCTGATGTTTTGTGTTAAAATAACTTTGAGTGACACTGTGTTTGAGAAAGATTTGTGCATAGTGGAATGCCACTTTTTTCCTTCTCTCTTATTTTAATAAGAAAATAATTTGACTCACAAGCAGTTAGACTAAGACGACCCCTAAGCATCCTGTCCGTCGAACTTGAAAGAGTATGATATAATATGCTGAGAGAAACGGGAAGGATTGACCAGTCAACTTTTTGCCTTGTGTGCATTTTGTTTTTCTCCCTTATTTCTTTGGGTGGTGAAAGTTGCAATGAACCTTCCTCTACCTCTTACACCACTCGTTGTCATTCTTCTATAAACCCTATCCTGTTTTCCACTCCAGTCCTGTAACTCTAGCGTTTTCTCCTAATGTTAACCCCAACAGACTTTCCACTGAGGGCTACTGCTCTAGCTCTCAAAAGAGGAGGCAGATCTTTAGGTATTGGGCTGCTGCTGACTGACTTGTGTGTTGCCATGCCCATTTTTCAAAGTGGTTTGGTGATGATAGTGGTGACCTGTGGTGGTTATCTTTGCTTGGGCATAGTCGGCTGATTAATGGCTATTCCAGCATTGCACTTTTGGGCTTCCCAAGACCCATGCATGGCTGCTTTGTGGTTTCACTGGGGACTCACTGACCTACTTACCCTTCCACCCATCCACCATCAACCACATTTTTACACAAAGTAACTGCATTGCTTTCACAGTAATCTGTTTGTTTTGTGGTTGACTCAGTCTTGTAGTTTTTGTTAACATGTCAAATGTTGCATAGTATTGCATAAAATATACAAGTAGTGCGCATGTGCAGTAGTGCTCTCCAACTGACATGGTCATTTGAAAACAAGAACCATGAGGTCCTTTATATTTTGTGTCCAACAACTAATAATTTTCCTTATTGATACATACTTTCTACTTTCATCTATACAGTGTTGGGAGATGTTCATGATTACTAATGAGTACTGTGTAGTCTCTTAGATCGAAGCCATAAAAATGTCTCTTGCATCAATAAATACTTGTATATAAAAAGTAAAGTTAAAAGTCCAAAGAGATACTAAAAATAGCTTTGTTTGCATGCTTAACATGCTTTTAGACCTTTGTGCCCAAACTGTTCGACCTGCCTCAGCTTTGACTCTGATTTCTATAGCTATCCCATGCTACTCAGATATTATCATCAGATCCTTGTAGTGTTTTATGTTGCCTGAACAGATCAGGCGTGTTGTGGCGTATCCTGCAATACCAACATTTCCACTTGTCCTTAAACTAACCTCTGTTAGTGGAGTTTTGTCGCTGCTCAACGTAAACACGTTACAAACCTTAAGATGTAA